TCTAGTCCCAGTCCTTCCCTGGGTCCTTTGATCAGAGACATCCTATCGACCAGTGACTTAAAACCAAAAATACATTGCACAACAATATGGGAAATTTCAAATAGTGCTAATTTCTGGAAGTAACTAGCTAGTGTTTAATCCCAGCTAAAGAAGAAAAATGCAAACAGCTTTTGAATGGCTGAAGGGGAAAATACAAATATGCTTTAATCTCATAAATAGGTTTGAATCAGCTTTGCTATTTTAACTCAAAAGAAAATGCCAAAACCAGCATCTGTGAGGTTGCAATTGCCCTTTTTTATTGCACTGCTGAGAGGAACTGATTTAATTTTAAAATATTAATGTTTCAACATTGTTTAGTTTCATTTCTTGAACTGTGGGTTATGAATCTGCTATCTGATTATCAAATGGAAAAGCACCAGAAGGACACACGCCTTGGCAGTGATGACAGCACATGCAGCACATGCACAGAGAGGCTCTGTTGCTGGGTAACTCCCTGGAGGGGAGGAGAGGAGCTCTCTCTCTAAGTGGGCACCCTTTAGGCCATAGACAGGGTTCTGATGGCCACAGCAGCTCCACCCACAACCACGCATTAAGAGCAAGGCCCTGTGCCCACCAATGATACTCAAATCAGTTACAAATTCATGCAGTATAATTCACAGAAGAGCAGCCAGCCACTGGCACGCCTTCATCTCAAAATGTACAAATTTGGCACTTTCTACAGCTGGAGAAAGTCCTGGGGGTAACTTGTGCTACACACTGATGTTTTCTGGTCTATAAGGGAAGCTACATGCTGTGCCTTCCGTGTGGGGACCTGATGGTTGGGTAGTGCTAAATGTGCCATGCAAAGCCCTTATCTGATGTTGCTGACAGTGCTTGGGGGGAGCACACACAAAGCCAAGCAGGCCCTTTGGGCTATACTGGCTTCTGCTGCCTGTCACAACTTAGCTAAAACGATTTCTAGGGCACAGACAGAAAAATCAAGTGACTGGAGCTACTGCTGCTAGTAAATAATCTCTGCTGCCTGGCTGGCAACTGACAGATAATGATCCTCACCAAGAAGAGTGAATGATAATCAATTTAGGAAATATGGACAATCTTTCAGGAAACATAGCTTCAGAGCAGTTTCTGGACAGAAAATGACTAGTTACAGCATAATCTTCTAAGAAATTAGTGCACAGGAAACATGGCAATTGAAGGTCATCTTTAACCATTACTCATAGTTATAGAAGTTTCTGTGAGCCACAACTGAACTGCAGAGTAGATTATCACATTTTTTACAACTTAGGTTCTAAACCAGAAGCTAAAAAGTCTGTGCAACTGTTCCTTCTCCTCTATTGAGACTCAGACCTCCCTACAGGACAAATACGAAGCTCCCTAATCCATATGCAGGAAGGCGGAAACATTTCTCTCTCTGGGTTTCAGCCTCCAACACACTAGAATTAAGGATGCTGTTGTCCAACTTCTCCAGTGATCAGTGTGAATATTTTGGTCCAGGGTGTGAATGTTCATACCCTGGTGACTTAGCCCAGGAACATGTCTCCATTTGTCTTCCCAAAGACCTATGTAGAGATCTAAAGAAGAACCAGAAAGGGAAAAACGTGGTGGGGATGCGTATGATACTGATCACTAACTCCATGTATACCCTATGCTTCCATGATCTTTCCTCTTCTCTCCCACAGAGCCCACAAATGTTTTCTTTTCTAGCTAGTAAAGTGAACAGAGGACAAAGTCACTCTCTAATGTTCACTGTAAAGGAGGGATTTTCTTTCCTACTTCTGGCTGAGTACATGTTACAGCTGAGATTCTCCGAAGTGCCCTTGGCCGAATGCAGTATCACAGAAAGGTTGAGGCTGTAAGGCAGGTCATCTGGCCCAACACCCCTGCTTAAGGAGGGACACATAGAGCCCCTTGCCTAGCACCATGTCCACATGGTTTTTGGTTATCTCCCAGCACAGAAAACTCATCGTCTCTGGGACAATCCATGCCAGTGCTTAGTCACCCTTACAGTAAAAAAAAAATGTGTTTCCTGATGTTGAGGGAGACTTTTCCAATGGACACATTTCCATTTGTGCCCAGTACCTCTGGTCCTGTCACTGGGCACTCCTGGCCTGAACCAGTTTTCTGCACCCTCCCTTCAGACACTTGGTCCACGACAGTCCATGGTCCATGAAGATGGTCCATGAGGGTAATATGGTGCTGGTTGCTCTTTAAAGCTGGGTACGACAATGATTTGAAGGGCAGATAAAAGACATATGAAATGTCAACATGGGCCTTTCCATGAAAGCTATTTCTTAGAACTGGCACAATAAAATAATTCGGAAGGAATTTTGACCCATGAGCAGGAATGGAAGTGGTAATCACTGCAAGCCTTGTAATAAGAAAATAGGAGCAAGATTTTTTTCAGAAAACAGAGATGCAATATCCTAGGGTGTTTCAGAATGGGAAACATTCCAGGAAAATAAAATTAATGATGTGATAACCAAATAAATGCATAAAATTGCTCCTTTGGCTATGCTAAATGAGAACTCCCAAATTATTTGTACAATTCAGCTGCAGGAATCCTTCAGAATGAACTCCACTCTGCTTGAATGTGGGGGCGGTGGACAAGATAGGAAAAAATGGTTCCATATCAGACACCATCTTGGTATCTTCTGAAGTATTATTAGAAACAATGACAAGGCCAGTTTTAACAAAGCTTGTATCTCATGGCTCCTGACAAAACCAGGTTATAATTTCCTTAATTATTTTTAACAAGCAAAGTGAAGACCTGTGTGGAAGAAGAAAAAAAAAAAAAAAAAAAAAGGAAGCTGTTTTTACAAAGGAAGCTGAAGAAGGGGAGCTTTTCAAGGTGCTCTGCTGACAGAACAGGAATGTTTAAGGACCAAAATGGTTGAGATTTGTCTCCCATATAAGTTATAAGTTAGTAGGGGTTTTAGTAGGGTAATTGTAGAGATTTATACGCTCCATAACTACAATTAAATCATATAACAAGCAGGCAAACCTTAGGCAGCATAGAAACAAGTTTGAGATGGGGAGTCACAGATTTCACACCTGGAGTAACTACTTCAGAGGGACTCCCACTAAGACACAGAGTACCTGCTCAAGTGAGGGCAGCTTTCCCTTCATGACCCCTCATGACATCTCGACTGCACCAACAGACTACAAGATCAATCTTCTAACTGCAATTTTCTTCCAGAACAAAGCTGCATTGGAATTTTCAAGTATTTGTCCCATATATTCACAGGTAAAGAACTTACATAGCAAATAAATTTTTTTGGCACGTATTTGCAAAAGTGTTTCAGAATGCCAGACTTGACCTGTGTGTGGCCAGACACTGAGGTTTTGCTTCAACCCAGAAATTTATTAAGACTTACATGAAAATATTCAGTTTCACCATAATACACATTGTTAGCATTTGAATACATATTTACAGATTTATTTGAACTTTTCTCAACTGCAATTCTACAACTGAGCAACATATCCATAAGTGTTTCATAAACTTTCAAACACTTACATATTTATACATATAGTTTTTGCATATATATATATATAAAAAAATATTTTTGAGACTCAAGGACTGAGAATAGTCAAAAGGACATTATTGCTACATTTCCATATTTACAAAAACAATGCATAAACCCAGTCAAAACACCAAGCCATTGCAAAATAAGTTTCAAACCCCCCCCAAATTATAAAAATATAAATTTCAAGAACGAAAAAACCCAAACCTCTTTCAGCTAAGTGTTTGTAAAGTACCGAGACATCTATAACAACTAGTTTGTCTACAGTTGCTCCAAAAGCCAACACGTTACAAAAGAGCTTTTATAGCATTAAACTGAAAATGCTCAACAACTAGTATGCATAAGAGTGCATCCAAACAAATGGCTAACTTTGGAAAGGTGCAACAGCCTAAGTAAGTTCAGTGCAAATGGCTAATTTTTTTTATTCAACTCTGAAAGACGGATTCCTGTAACAACAAACCAAATGCACAGTCATAGAAGGAGCGCGGTATTCAATGTAACCCAAAATATACTACCAGCGTGTGTATTTACAATTACCTTGTATTTGGGCAGCTAGTTACACATTTGAATTGCATGTAAACTCAACCAAAATCCTGGTAAAGTAAGTAACAGAGTGCTTAAGTGCATTGTAAATAAATAGGTACTCAAGTAGTACTCTGCCTCTGAGAAATACTTCTCTTGATGCCTTTACTTATTTTTAGGGGTCAGAAACAAAGGAAGACGAGAACCAGCAGTGTTCCTGGTGGGAAGAAAAGGGGTTAGAAAACACTTTTAAGCACAGCCCTGGGCTCAACAGATTCTGACCCCAAAGCTTCGTGTCTTTCAAAGAAGAATGAAAGGATGCTTTCTTTTATGCCATTTATAAATTTGGCACTTCTCAGTTAGACTCTTCTTCATTATCATCTCTGGGCTACCAGGGAAACAACTTGGTGTGGAGGAGAATAGCCCTTTCCAGTTAACACTGTCCAAGACTGCCTGTGGGAAAGATTCACCTGGGTAGGACAAGAAAAGGAAAGGGCCCCCAGGAGAGCATTATTTTTCTCTGGTCTCCCATAAATAAGATGAATCGTTAAACAGCCTCCTCTCCGGACACACAGTTTACTGGAAGCAGCCTTCCTCCTCTTTTCTGACCAATTTGGCAGGGCCCACCTATCTTTGGGGAACACTTTTAGATGCAACTATTAGCAAAACAAATGTCAAAGTCTTTGGGCACCCCAGGCAGAGGGCCACAGAAGCAGTTCAGGTTCCATGGTGGAGTGAGACCCAGCAATGGGCAGCTTCATCCCGGCAGGGAATGCACTTCCTGGTGGGAAATAGTGCATATATCCATGGAAACAGTGCAACTGATCTGCAAGGCTGACAGCGCAGCTGGGAAATAAAAATGAAAATCCATACTCTTCCTCCCTTCTCCTCTGGTTTAAACCCCAGAGCTCCCAGGAGGGTTTCCAGCTGTGCAGATCACCTTTGGAAGGGTCTTGGTTCCTTCACCTCTTTTTCCCAGGTAAATACAGCACCCTCATTGGCCTCCAAACTATAATACCTGCCTGAGAAAGCCTTTCAGGCTTGGCTGGATGTGGAAAGGGGTTTACAAAACCATTAACTTAACACTTGTTTATTTCAGAAATTCAGAAAAACAAGATTAACAAGAAAATGACTGTATGCATTCCAGGCACAGATCCAGAGACTAACCACTGCAGATTTGGTTTGATCTACAGTCATCTAACTCCACACCCTGGCTTAGGATTTCTTTTGTTGGATGTTTTTTTCACATCTGGCTCTCTACTGCAAATACACACAATATAGCAAAATATATACAGCTTCAATTAACACTGCAATGATGCCTGTAACCGTGCTCAGCAGATTAAGTTTATGTATAACAGTGCATGGTAAAGGACAGTATTACAACAACATTTCAGCTACACAGTGGTAGTAGTGAGTAAAAGAAAGAGAAATTACTGAAGTTGTCCCTCTCTCAGCCCCTGCACAATACAAACAGCTAACACATCTGATCTCCTCTTCTTCACATGCCATTCAAACATCTTCGCGTACCAGGAGAGGCTGAGTCGAGGAAGCACTGCTGCCCACCGAGTTAATCCTCACAGAGTGATCTGGAGCATTTCCTTGGCTGGAAGGTGGGGTTGAGAAGTTGGCATAAACCTGTAGAAGCCAAACACTGTTGTCAGTACTCTGTAGACTGCTCCCTTCACACAATCTTGGAGAGCATTCCTTTCTTAGCCTTTTCCCTCCCTGTACTATACACTGCTGTGGAAGGGCTCCAGCTCAGGAACTTCTTTGCAAATGAAAACAGTGTCAAAAGGTCTTGGGCTTAACTGCTACTTTAAAGAATCACGAAGCTCAGTCTCAGTTACTAAAAACATTCTAGTTTCCAACTGCATGCCAAATTTCAACTGAGCTCAAAAAAAAAGAAATTGCTCAGGTTATTACTAAGCTCCCCCAGAAATCTCACTAATAATTCCTTCAGATTCTTGCTTTTGTTTTAGTAATGCCTGCACCTGCCAAAAATACACTACAGGATGCAATCGAACACCAGCAGCTTTCAGTTTCCTCTTTTCTCAAATTGTCAGGAAGCCATGTACTCTCTTCCCAAACGAGGCATCCAGAAAGTAAAAGGAAGCTATATTTTTAAGTCAGGTCTAAACGTACTTTTGTAAACCCTAGTAACACACAAAGTTATGGAGAGAGATGATCCAAGTTTAGGATGTGCCTCCAGTTTTCCTCTGGATAGTTTTTTGAAGTTGCCTGCTCAGAATAAGCTTTTGCCATGGAATGGTTGAAAGAGCAGCACACACAATTTGTCACAACATACCTCCAAGGCTATGTAAATGTATTAGGGGAGGGAAGTGAGAAGATACAGAAGAGTGCCAAAGGCTCCACCCCTTCATCCAATGGCTTTCCTAATAAAAACTAATTGTATTTATTTCTGGGATGTTTCCCAGATTAACAGAATTTTTCATAGTTTAGGATAAGGTGAATTTATGCAGTACTGTTGCATTTTGTAATGTCAAAATTGTTGTGACAGGTCTCAGGTAAGTGAGAAACATCAGTAATGCAAAAAATGTTCTGCAGCTAATAAATGTTGGGTATGGGCTTAGACAGATACTGTCTAATGGAATAGCCCAAACATCATTCTTACTACCCAGACTGATGCTGCAAAGCTACATAAGTAATACCAGAAATGCAGTGCCTGGACTCTCCTTCTCACAGCTCTAGTGTAACATCTCGCTTGAAACTGCTTAATCCATAACTTACCCGGGGGGCATTATCTGAAAGCTGCTGCTCTATCATTTGTACAATTTGTTTAAATGTGGGTCTCTGCAAGGGATCAGCATCCCAGCAACTCTTCATTATGTCATACCTGTAAAGACACCAAAATTAAATACTGCTCATGAAGAAATCCTTAGTTCTTATCTCTCCTGCATTATTATTTGAAACAAAAGCGTGGCATCTTCTTTAAATGACTTTAAGAACAGGAATGTTGCTGCTAAGACCTGTGTTTGTGACAACAGAGAACTCACCACTAATGGGAGGCTCTGGACACAGTGTTCTTTGACAGCTTGTTACATGCCAATCCATTTACAAAATAGTGAATTAGGAATGTCTCATAAAGAAGATCAGTAGCCAGTCCTCTTGCTGTCAGGAAGTAAAGCACAAATGCAGATGCTGTACAGTCTGGTGATACATCTCTCCTTTATCTGAAGTAAAAATGCTTAATTATGTTTTGTGATCTGTCAATAATTTATTGACAGAGAGCAGGTGCCATGACAAAGTGATCAGATGGCACAAGGCATGAGTGTATTTCATTCCTTGTAACAACACAGGCGTGTATTCTGCTAGTTAAAGAGTACATGAATTATTTAAAACATGAAAATAACTCAAAAAAATTACAATGGGGCAGTGCAATGAGCCTTAGTGCAAGAAAAGAAGCTTCCCTTTCTTCACATCTTTACTGTTGTTTGGATGATTGGAGGTGCTGGTTGCTCACTTACATTTCAGGTGGTGCACACTCAGGGCTGAACATCCTGTATCCTTCTTTGATCATTTTATAGAACTTGGAGTCCACAGGTATCCCTGGATAGGGGCTGCTTCCTGTTGAGAGAGCAGGTGAGCAATATGATTTCTGCACCTACAGTAAACCCCCAAATGAAACAGATATGAAGTACACATCTTGAAGGAGCTTACCTAAAGAAAAGAGCTCCCAAAGCAATATCCCGTAAGACCAGACGTCACTCTCAAAGGTGTAGACGCAATTGAAAATACTTTCAGGTGCCATCCACTTCACGGGAAGACGAGCCTTTCCAGGGAAGAGGGAATAAATTAAGACAATAGATATAAGGAATAAAGAATTGACAAAGTAAAATCAATTTGTTCTGTTTTTTTAATGTGCATTAAATATTTTTAAAATCAAGAAGTATCCAACCAAAAAGAAACTTTTAGCATTTTAGAGTCTCCAAGTGCTGCATTGCTAGTGATCCATCTTTCTTTGGGTCCACCAAGCTAATACTGTTCCTTGCACTCTGATTTTCTGAATACGGTTTGACTCCTTCTGTCTAATTAATAAAGGATATCAGGAAGTCAGAGGAAAATAATGTAAGTGATCATGGCATGGTTACTTAAGCATGTAAGCAAGTCTACTTTGGTGGACTGGCTGGCACAGGCAGCCAAATAAGATTGACATAGTCAAGATGCTTCAAGGCTTTAGTCAATACATCAGCTCCTTAGTCTATCAGTAGAAAAATTTAAATTCAGATAAAAGTAATATATATTAATATATATATTTTTGGGTAGAAGTGTTGATCTGCTGGAGGGCAGGAAGGCTGGATTATGAGCCAAGCCAGTTGTATGAGGTTCAATAAGGCCAAGTGGTAGATCCTGCCCTTGGGTCACAACAACCCCCTGCAGTGCTACAGGCTGGGGGAAGAGTGTCAGGAAAGCTGCCCAGCAATGAAGGACCTGAGGGTGCTGGTGACAGGGGCTGAACATGAGCCAGCTGTGCCCAGGTGGCCAAGCAGGCCAATGGCACCCTGGCCTGTGTCAGCAACAGTGTGGCCAGCAGGAGCAGGGCAGGGATTGCCCCCTGTGCTCAGCACTGGTGAGGCTGCACCTCATAACCTGTGTCCAGTTCGGAGCCCCTCACTACAACACTGACATTTAGGTACTGGAGTGTTTCCAAAGAAAAACAAAGAAGGTAATGAAGAATCTGGAACATTAAGCCCTACAGGGATCAGCTGAGGGATTTGGAGTCATTTATCCCAAAGAAAAGGAGGCTGGGGGAGACCTTAGTGCTCTCTGCAGCTACCCAACAGGACGCTGTAGCAAGGTGGGGATCTGTCTCTTCTACACAACAAGTGACAGGATCACAGAAAATGGCCTTGAATTGTGCCAGGGGAGGTTTTAATTGGATATCAGGAAAAATTCTTCACCAAAAGGGCTGTCAAGCATTGGAATAGGCTGCCTGGGGAAGTGATGGAGTCACCATCCCTGGACATATTTAAAAAACATGTTAGATGTGGGGCTTAGAGAAATGGTTTAGGGGACTTGGTAGTGCTGGGTTAGCAGTTGGAGTGAATGATCTAAAACGTCTTTTACCACCTGAACAATTCTATGATTCTGTGATTTTTTTTAAGTTTGTGTGGGAATGGAAAGATCCCTTATGAATGCTAACTGGAGCAGAAGAAAGGACACAGGAAGCCTTTGCATTTGCTTCCACCTTCCTCTCCCTGGTTTGCCCTTTCCTTGTCTGATTGTAGGAGCTGGTCAGACCTCTGTCCTAAACATTCTTCCTGCTTTGGAAAAAACAGACTTCTTTCTCCCAATGATCAGAAGGCTTGAACACATCTCATGTGAAGAAAGTTTGAGAGAGCTGGGGTAATTCAGTCTGGAGAAGAGAAGGGAGACCTCATTGTGGCCTATATAAAGAGGACTTACAACAAAGATGGAAAGAGACTTTTTACTGGGGCTTGTGATGACTGAACAAGGAAAAATGGTTTTAAACTGAAAGGGCATGGATTTAGATTGGAAACAAGGAAAAAAGTTATGATGATGATAGTGAGAGACTGGAACAGGTAGTCCAGAGAGGTTGTGGATACTTCATCTGGGCAACATTTCCAACACTGGAGATGTTCAAGGTCAGATTGCATGGCTCTCTAAGCAACCTGATCTAGTGAAAAGATGTCCTTGCCCATGGCAGTGGGGTTGGACTAGATGATCTTAGAAGGTCCTTCCAACCCAAACCATTCTATGATTCTGTGATTCTATGAACTCAGAAAACTTAATGGATTACCTAGACAAATAAAACTCAGTTGCACATTTCCCTCCTAAGCTGCTGTTTAAACTTCCTACTCCCAGGACCCTTTATGATCAGGCAGCTCTTGATCTGACCTTGAGCCTGAAAGTAGCTTGGTTACACTAAACACTACTCAACATTTTGTCACAGCAGACACTTATGAATTATTTCAGCTCCTACTGCTCCCTAACCTGAACCAGTGGCTGGTACTGACATTGTTTTGAAGAAAACAATAAACCTGTCTCACAGCCTAAAATAAGGATGCTGTAGATACCTGAGACTTCAAGGCCTGCTGGGTAACAGCACAGCACCAGAGTTATGTCATACCAGAGGTACCATGGATTGACTGAAGTTATCTGAGTGGCAAACTCCTTTGGTGAGAGATGCTCAGGTGTGCCATTTTCTTTCTTTATCAGCTTGCCAAAGGCAGGACAGGTAAGCTTTAGTTCATGTGCTGTCAAGCCACTAAGTAATGACCAACCCTCATCATTAAGATCACGGAGCCCTCAGCTGAACTGGGGACAAGGGCTGCCTTGCTGAACAGGGATCTTCTCCTTTGAAAAACTGTGCAAGGGAAAGCATACATACTCTGAAGGCAGCAGCTGGCTGCACCTATCTGACACAGAACACTAAGCCAGGCAGCATAAATCAGTTTGAGATGCAAAATACCTACACTTCATAAACACTTCCCCAGCTTAACCACAGAGAAGCTCGATTTTCTTTTGTAGTAGGGCTCTTTTTACTGCTCTGGCACTTTAAAGGGGACTGCAAGTGCTGCCAAGGTAATCTGCATCACTTCAAAGTGCCTTTGTACCCCTCCAGAGGTTTAATAGGTACTTGTGAGGTCGGTACTCTTCTACATGGGAGGTTTTAAACTTTTCTCATCAAAATATAGTGTCTTGTTCCAACCCTGTTACAGGGTTTGAACTACAGCTGAAAGCTAAAGCTGTGTTTGTTACACATACGAGGGAGGTTAGGATGTCTCTATTGAATCAGAGAAAACCAAGATGTTTTTGCCTCCCATTGATGCTCTAATCAGTAAATTCACACTTCAGTTTTCATTGTCTGAGTGCTCCCTTACAGAAAAGAAGAAGGTTCAAAACCCTGATTATTTAGATATTTTTAAAATAAACTATTTCAATAACTGACAAATAGTGCAACGCCCAGGGATAATGTTTCCAAATAATTCCAAAATTTACTACTGGGATACTAGAGTATTTCCATGTCAAAACTCACAATTATAGATCAGTACTTTTGAGTACATTCATGTATAATAAGAAGACTGGACATTATATTGGTGCAGCAAAAACATTTCTTTCACTACAACATGCATTCAGCTATGAGCACATATTTTCCAGTATAACAAGTATAAACTAAGAATTTTGTCAGCACACACATCTATGTCAGAAATTTCCCCTCCTAGCCAACACGGATATACGTGTGTATATATATATATATATATATATATATATATATATATATATACACACACACATACACACACCAGAACTGGAAAATCCAGATTTCCATCTAAATAAAAAAGACTTTTGTTTGCACATCAAGACAACAGGAACTTGCTTAACTTAAAACAAATGTATTAAGTATCATGTATACTTACATTTCCTTTGACCACGTAATTGGAGTCATTCCTTATATCTCTCGCCAGGCCAAAGTCACAGATTTTTGTAATTCGACCATGAGTCAGAAGAATATTTCTTGCGGCCAGATCCCTATGAATGCACTAAATAATAGACAAACAAACAAAACTAGTTGATAATATCCCTAACAGGCTTCGTTACATGTTTACTTAGCTATGTAACTTACTGTATTATGCATTTTAAGGCAAGCTGTAAAAATCACAATGAAGCCATGTGCTAATAAGCTTACTCAGATGAGTAAACATTCTGATCTCGTATCTTTGCAATAATTACATCAATCCACAATAATAAGGTTGTCTATGCATTTAGTTTAGAAAACACCAGTCACAGTCATTGAATTTTGCAGTGTTTCATATTCTCAGCTAAAATTTAATGCACTTTTTTTCTGATTTATCAAAATCATCACTGGCTTGTTTCCTAATATAGGAAAAAACAGAGGTGAAAATGTTTTTGTTTCCAAATAGTTTTGTTTTGTTTCCAAATATTTTGTTTCCAAAATATTCCCAATATTCTGTGAAGTAGCTATTGTCGTTGATATAGAAGTGCTGAAAATCTGAAAATAGGGGTAAATTATGGTAACAACTTCAAAGTACAAAAAAAATGAATCCTGTAACAGAAACACTCATCTGGAAAAGCTGAATTATTAAGTACCTACAAGAGGTTTAGCAGACTTAAGTATTTTAAAATATGGAAATTCTCACATGCCAGTATCTTTCAACAGATGGTCATGCATTCAGTGACCTAACCACCCTGTATTCCAGTTTTTACTTTAGAAGTGGGCATGTGTTGGTAACTGCAGTTCCAGAAGGATGTCTGAGTTTCCCAGCACCTGTGTTTCTTTGCATAAAACTGTGGAGCCCATGTATGTTTGCTAGAGAATGGAGGGGATTCTCTAACTAAATGATTTCTTCTTTCATCTGCAAAGAAGAGTATTAAGCTTCAGCTTTACGGATGGTATTCACCATGCAGGCTACAGCTGTCTAAAATATAACTGAAAACAGTTCAATTTTCGTTTTTCTTTGAAATACAGAACTTTTGGAATTTCTAGCAAAAAAAATGACCTAAAATATCAAAGGTTATGAAAATCAAGCTTGCACAAGTAACCTAATCTCTGTCCCTTTAGCATGCTTACACGAGGAATGATTTTTACTATTCCACGGTTTTGGTAGACTCCTGTTCACCTCTACATACCATGCATTCTGCACTTTGCATATGTGAAGCTGTCACACAGCACTGAAGCAGCAAGGCAAAGGAACTGCCAAGAGTCAGTATGGCTCTGCCTTGTTCCTCCAGAATCAGTGCAGTTTGCATTGAATATAGACACTTTGTCCAAGGGAGGAAGCTCTGATGAAGGCATCTCCTGCCTCAGGGATGTGAGGCAGCCCACAGCAGTCTGCATTAATTAACTCAACTGCTGGAGCCCAAAGAGTGCAAGTATACACAACTGAAGAGGACCAGTAACACATTAATGCACTGCAGTTTAATTCTGTGATATAGGTGTTAATTCAACACTGCCAAAGCGATACTGCACATTACTTCCCATCCTCAAGGTGAGGTGATGTGACATTCTTTACTGCCTTTGCTGCCATTTAATGCCATTGTGTCTGTAAAAATGGAAGGACTATAAAGAAAAAGTCACCAGGAATGATACATAATGGATCCAGGGGCTACTCTTTAGGAAAACAGAAAAAATACAGAATGAGTGTGCTAAGCACTGCACATCCTCAACAGTGAAGGATGCAGGAGCGTGGTGAATCTGTGTTTCATCTGTAATATGATATGTTTGCATGTCAGGCCTGTTTTGAATGTGTTGATAGATGAAAAATAAACTAAAGGGAACTTATGCTTTGGTTTGGAAGAAGGAGCAGTGGGAGAAAAAAAAAAAAAAACAAGTGCAAAAGCAAGTTTTAATGTGCACTTTCCTCAGAGCAGAATTCAAAATACATTTCCCAATAGTAACACCACAGGACTCCAGGATTGTCTTCCTTTCCTTGAATTGCCTAAGTTTGGTTTTGTACTTTATTTAAGGTGCACCTGTAGTAGCTACATTAGTTATAATGTTTACATGTTAAATGGCACTTTTGCAATAAAATGCAAGAATAGCCACAGGGAGGTACTAATTATGCTGTGCTTAAGACTTCTTTATAAATCCCCTTCTGTTATGCAATACCTCTCCTATGAAACCCAGAGGAATGTCTATTATGTTCAGTGTAGTCAATGAAGATTTTTTGTGGGTCTCTAAGCTGATCTTATCTTTCCAGAAAACTAAAAATCAAGACATCTCCTGTGAATTAAGCCATGCTTACAAAAAGAGCACACAATGTGATACCTCCCCTGTTTAAGGCAGTATTCTGCATGAGAGAAGTAGCAAGTGCAGCGCTGTTTAAAACTCATGCAAATAGATACCATGGCACTGATTCTACTACCCACAGCAGTGGATATACAACAACACTGCTTCACATTGACCTCTGTTTTAGGGGGTATAAAACATCATTTTTGGCCAATAAGCACTGTACATAACTCCAACACCATGTAAAGCCTCAGGTATGAGAGGGAGCCTATCAGTTTGCAGTGCTTGTTGAAAAGAACATAGAAATATTCACCATTTAAACATACAGATCCCATTAAAACACTGAAAGTGACAAAAAATCTACTGATTCTGTCCATCTCTGAAAAATTCTGAACTTACGTTTTTGGAGGCAAGGAAGCTCATGCCCTTTGCCACCTGGTAAGAAAAACTTAGCAGATCTTCTACATCTAAAGCAAGTTCATCATCTTCCGGCATAGAAAGGGTAACATCCTGATCAGTGTAGGATCCTACACAATGTAAACAACAACAGCTTTTGAGTTAAGCGAGTGTAATCATGTAGAAATCACGCAGAGTTGTTTTGACATTAAACAAAACAGTAATTTTAGTAAGTACCAGTCTAGAATCACATAAATAGCCCATCACTAAAAAGGAAAAATAATCCTGATACTCCATTAAAGTGTGAAGAAATACAGGACACTGTAATTTAGCATATTGTTCTTTTTCAAGCCTTCTCACACCAATTACTGAGTTTTAAGTATCCCCATTCACAAAAGACAAATATGCTAAAACTGAACCGGCATGAAGCCTGTCTTCCTGCACTCCTATCAGCAAACAGAATTCCTTGTCACTGAACTCACCAGACTTCACAGGCCGTTTTTTGTCAGCCTTTGGTGGGACTGCATATGACACTCCTGGTTTCATGTCCATGTACTCATTGGCAACATCACTGTAGAGGCAGCAGAACAAAAGAAACATAGTTTATTGAAATAAGTCTCAAAAACTATCCAAACAAAAAGCCAGCATCAAGCCAACCTTCTGAATAATTGATTTACAGATGATCAGTTAACTGGAAATTCATGGGTGTGTGAAAAAAAAAGAGGAAATGTCTGTACAGAAAGGGAGGTTTGTTGGTACAGTTAATGGTACACCTCAAAGCTTGGAGTTTGGCTCAGGTGAGTAAACAAAACCATTCATATAAATACTGTTTATACAGACATCATTCTCTTTATATTAACATCCAGATATTTTACAGGATCTGCTAGTGCTTCCTTTTTCTGCTTAGGCCAGCTTCTACCAGACTATTTCAGCAGTTCAATTGGCAATTGAAATGCAGAAGACAAATGGTAAAAAATGTTAAATTCAGAAATTCCCAAGTTCCGTAGGGGATTCACATGTATTTCAAAAGATCAGCCAAGTCTTGGGACAGCCATCTGCTAGATTCTTTTAAGTTTAAATTTTCTTATTGCTATATATAATTCAAATGTACAGATTTTCATTACTATATGGTTTATAAATACAGTTTAGGCACCTTTGGAAATGATGGATGTACTTTGGCATTTTTCACTTCATTACTATTAGAATTCATACACTTCCTTAGCCTGAAACATCTGCTTAATTTAAGGACAATAAATGCAGCCACAGAGCTAACATGGGAAGGAGCAATGGGATCACCAATAGCTTTAGTTACCACCAGAAACACATCTGACACATTCAGCAGCAGTAAATGCTAACATGAGAATCTTGTAAATATTCTGCTGTTAATAACTCAGTTTACAATTTGCCGTTTGTAAACTCATTTTACAATAACTCAGTATGTTTAAATAGCACAATCCCTTCACTGAACAGAGAGCACACCTCCAATGGCAAATCACAGCCTTATGCTCATCACCCCAGTGGTCTCAACCTCTCTGGGGCATCCCCAGCTACCCATTTATTGCCATAGCACAAACAGCTTCACCAGTACTATGCCTTGCTGGGATAAAGAACTTTTCCAGCTCCTTGGGTCTGCCTGCTTCTTTTTCGGCTCCCAACACAAAGTAACAGGCCCACTGGGGCAATAAAAAGACTAAAATTTAGAATGGGCAGGTATTTTAATGGCCCGAGGGTTTTGGTAAGCTGTCTCTCACTTTGCAAACGGAAGGAAATCTGCTTGGAAACGCCCTTGGAAAGAACTCTGGGATGGTATATAAAACACAGCAGTTAAAAATATACAGGAGAATTAAGTGCAAGAGCAATCTCAGAGCCATGAGACAGGCTGTTTCAACACAAAACGCAGTGAGCTGTCAGTGGCAGCCTGCTACTGACATTTTAAGACACTGGTTTGATATTTTTAAAAAATCATTTCTGAAGGTAGGAATTTGGGAGAACTCAGGGTACTAACGGCCTGACACTGGGGAAATTGTCATTGGAAGTGCCAAATAAGCACTACCAAAGTTTAATAGCAATAAACATAAATATGTACAAAAAATTGGAGCCAAGGAGGTGCATGAAATAACTGCAGAAAATTTGATAAAGAAGAAAAACAAAGAGCACATACAATCCACTCTGTATATAATGACACTGTTGGAATAAACCACCCCCTGAACAAATAGCCTCTTAAATTTTTTTCTTGTGCAGCAGAGAATCTTCAAAGCCTGCTGCATTAAATGTTTCTCCACACCTCTTATCCCTAATAAACTTTGATTTCTCCTCCTTCCCTATCTTCTAAAAACACAAGTACGTTTCAGCAGGTCATACTTACGCTGCAGGCTCTGACTGATGCAAAAGGTTCTCATAAACAGCTGCCTCTGCATGTTCTTCATGTTTTGGACAAATAAATGAATCTCGTTTCCGTCTCAGAAAATTCAAAAGATCACCATAACAGCAATATTCTGTAATGACCAGAGTGGGCCCTGTAGATGCATGTAAGGTTTAAAAAGCTGGTGAGTGTTGTTTTCAAAGCAGAAAACCTTACATAAAGCTAGCATTCAGTGAAGCACACAGGCTGGACTATTAAAAAATCACAATGTCTAGCACTGTCTAGACTTGAAAAGTTATAGATAAGTAACCCAGCATCCTCCCTTTCACAGATGAACAACTATGGTCCAGCTAAAGCTGTGTCCCAATTAATGTTCTGCCCCTCAATAGCACAGCATTGTATAAAAATTAAACAAATAAGTCTTTTTCTCTTTTTTCATGTGATAATGTTTCTGGCCAGACACATCTGTTTGATTTTGCTCACTTCCTGAAGGAAGTTATTTGTTCCAAACGTTAAGAGTAACTCAAGCTTCAAACATTAATCCTTTTGATTCACTTCTGTTTACAGTAGAGCTTCACACTCCTTCAGTAATGTTTTGGAAATGATGTAGAGTGTTATATTCTGCAGTATAATAGGAAAAATCATTCGAACAGAACAGCCTGCTGCCACAGAAAACTACATTGCACAAGGTCTTAGAATATTAAAATGAAATCAGAAAAGGGAATCAAGTCATCTTCAGCATCAATGTTTATAGATCAAATATATGTCTTTTGAGTGAATGACTCCAGCTATGGACCTTGAATATGTAATTACACTGTGTGTTATTTCATCTCTAAGTTTACTCTGTGCCATCATTTCCTAACTTCACTGGTTTATTTCCATTTTTCTGCAGTTAAAAATTATAGCTTTCACAATAGCAAAATAAGTGTTTGTGGTGTCATTTTCTTACAGACAAGACCTTTTTTTCTACTAAGAGAGATATGTAATCGGGCCCGTGAGTTGGCTTAGTTGGATGCTTGAACAAAACTGTTTCATCCTTTTTTTAAATCATTAATTGTGAGAAGTATTTTGCCTTTGCCTAAAACTATGAATTTTTACAAGATTCTTTTCTTTAAAAAATGTGTAAGAATCAATACCATCTTTCATATTAAAATGCATACAAATTAAAAATACAGGTTTCTATCACTCTATTGACACTTCAGGAGATTTTGTAGCTGTAAGTTTTGTAGTTTTATTGTGTAAGAAAACAAACTTATGAAGTTAATACTAAATATAAAACACTATGGTTGTGCAATGCTTTTTTTGGAAAATTACTTTTCTCAACTTTCTGTTGCTTAGAATTCGTACTTTCAGTGGTGCCTTGACAGATACATTTGCAGTTTAAACAGAAGGCTGGAAGACTAGACAAGACAAGCCTGTTGACTTCACCTTGGATACCAACAAGGAACGAGTTCTCATTAATGAGGAACAGTGTGGTGGAGGTGAAAATTTATACCGTACGTTTTGTTATCTCTCAAGAAGAAAGCACCCAACAGCAGTTCACATGAAAGAGAATAAAAGCAACCTTCCTGTCTAGCTGCAGCTACTTTGGTCTTACTAAAGGTTTTACGATGAGCCTAAAATCTAGATTCAGTAAACCACAGGTGATAATCATGATGATCTGCAACCTGTCTAAGCATGAAATGTAAGATTGTAAGATGAAATTTATCATTTCTACACTTAGAACTGCACCTTGGATTCTTCCTCAAAAAGTCCATCCTCCTGGCAATTAGAAAAGAACAGAAATAATCAACAATCTGCAGATAAACCCACCTCCAATAGTGCAAGCTCCAAGCAGATTCACAATATTAATGTGGTTTCCAAGGTAACTCAGCACTTTGAGCTCTGACATCAAGGCTTCTCTCTCTGTTAAATGGGCACTGGCTGCAAGGTAAAGCACAGCACTCAGTATGTAACACATCAGACAGATGGAAGCGAGAAAACACGGTATATCTGTAATATACTACAGCAACTTACTTTTCAACATCTTTACTGCTACCGTCATAGCAGCATCAGACTTAAATAAACCATAAGCAGTGGCTTCAACAACTTTCCCAAAAGCTCCAGCGCCAAGGGTTTTACCTAATAAAGCAAACAAAATACTTTGTAACAACTTTGAGTACTTCCTCCTGTAGGGCTCAACATTTTATTTTATTATATCAAGGAAGCTATTGCAGACATGCCTGCTTGCCTTTTGTCCCAAAGCAAGAATGAGTATTTATCACTATCTGCATAATTGTAAAACAACTTTGTGACAAAACCCTGCTGTTTTTGACTAGAGTCTCATATGAGACCTGAAGGTTCCACATTGCAGATGAAGTTAAATAAATCTAAACTAACCAAAACTTAAACGGTTTCTAGGAAATTCCCATTTGTGATCATAAGGAAGTTGCGTTGGATCTATGTAAACATAGTTGTTTCCATTTATTTCTTCAACAACTTTCCACTGAACTTCATACTTGGGTTTCTGGAAAAGAAAGAGAACTGATGTTACTACTGAAGACTCAACAAGTGGCTCACACACTTGTTTAGTTTGGGCAAAGGGGCTTCTGATTTTACCTGCAAATATATGTACACCAGGATCATGACTATGATGCACATCAGTCCTGCAGCAACTCCAAATGCAGTTAGTAAAGGGGTGAAAAGGGTATGTGTACGGATTTGCTCTGAAAAGGAACAGAAAATTCTCCTAAAAATACTGGACAAGAAAGACTAAATTAAAAAGATGCAGGTGAAAACCTTTCCTTGTCTCTTCTTTTTGAAATACAGTTTGGGGATTTGACTTTCCCAGATGTGCTCCAGGTTTATCAGCATGTCTTTCCTGAATGAGCTGTGGGAGACGGAGCTGGCACAGAAATCATGCAGTTCGATGCCTTTGGAGTCTCAGCTTCATTAATTCAGGGGGTTTGGCACTAAGATCAGTTAATGCAAGGGGTTTGCATGATCTCAATCAAGTTAGGTTAAAGAAAGAAGCTTTTATCTGAAGTCCTAATTTCTTCTCCTTCCCTTTGCCCCCCACCTAAGCATGATCACTACAGCACAGTCTTTACAAGGAGAGGTTGTGCCAAGTAGTGAAGAAATACAATTCTACTACAACCCATCTGCCCCAAATCTGGTGTATTTATTTGTATGTTATATCTGGGTGTAACAGAAAAAAAAGAAGCAGAACATTTGGTTTTGCAAAGAAGTGTACAGCTTTACAAACACATTTCAAATCATCTATGTTCTAGTGGGTTTTTCTTCTCCCCCACAAACCTACAAATACCACTACAAAACTCATAAGCCCTTTTGCAGCATGTTGTTGTTACTTCTTTTATAGCAGCAGGACACTAAGGCTCCAGGCAAGTTGGGGACTGCATTTTTCCTGAGACATTGTAAAAACCCGAAATAAAATGCAATCTTTCTTTGAAAAAAGAAGTGATGGCCTAAATAGTCAAAACAGAAAAACAGGAAAACAAAAGGGACAGAGAGAAGGAAAGTCAGGGTAATGCTGTAGGTGGTTTCCCTCTGTGCTGCATAGACAGAAAAAAACACCTACCTACTGCATTGCAGAACAGGTGCCATAAAAAGACAGTACCACAATAGTCATTGAGAAATTAAAGCAAGACTTTGACAGGCAGAACGTGCAACGAAGTATGTTATCATGCGCTCAGCCACAGTACTGTAACCTTCTCACAGCTAAACCACTTAAAATCCTTTTCCAGAAAGAGCCACACACCACCCGTGTTCTGTGGCTGTTACCTTTAATAGCAAAGTTGAAGAAAGCAGAGCTTCTGTCCCCATTGCTGGAGGCCTCACAGCACACGGTGCCGGTGCTCCTGAACATGCTGGCATTAATGGTGCTTTCAACCAGGATCCGCTCAAATGACGGGGCTGATGAATTTGTGTAACCAACTTTGACATCCATGGGGGATATTGTTGGTGAATCAAAACACCTGGAGAAACAATACTGACAGTTACCTGCAGTGGATTGCTACCTGGAGTGCCAGACCAACAGAGAACTGAACAATTCTGGTCCACAAAGGGTTTCAGCTGAAGATCTAAACCCTGAAACAGCCTATTCACAGTGACTCCTGTCTTGTATGAAGTAAGAAAAACGGATACATACACCTAGCCTGGCCCAACTGGAGACCACGACATCTTTGCATTTGCTTTTGGTTACACATACCTACAGGTCTGTAACTTCTCTATGGGTTTTATATCATTCAACATACATTTTCAATTTCATTATCAAGCAGTTGTGCTCTATTACCCACTTCTGAAAATGTTTCCCAAGCATCATCAAATTACAGCACAAAAGAAGTCCATGATGTACATGAACACCATGAAGCTTGTATGCAGTCAGAAAACAGTTCTTTTCTCTCAAGATGTTGCTTCTCCTTCATATGTCACATATTTACTACATGAGCACACATTTAAGATTTTAAAACAGGTATTATTTGAAATCATTAAGGAAATAATTATTTCAGACATTTAAAAAATTACTCCAGTGGGAAGGAGACCCATTACTTGCTAGTATTATATAACCATGGGGGAAGTCAAGCAAAACCTGAAAACTTGCTTCACAAATGCTCACTCACTTCACAGGGAAACTCTACAATCTTCTTATAAACACCTGGTTTTAAAAACACCCAATTTCATTCATAGCAACACTGGACTTGTTTACTTGTCATATGCTTCATGTGAACAGAAATCTAATTACATTATGTCTGGAAAAATTACTTCATTACACAGTAAAACAAATTATAACAGCCATATTCACAAGTGATTCTGTGATTGCCATTCTGTGAAATTGCATATAGAACATGTGTCATCTGGGGCCAAGCTGATAAAAGCCATAACTAGCTTGCAGCAGAAACTTTATATTTTGCTTTTACACAGCAAGTGTTGGTTATTCCCCTTTCAAGGACAGAATATAAAGGAGAAAAATGAAATGTATCCCTGCGTTCTCACAAAATACTGCAAATAATGCCATGCCAAAAAGCATGAAAACCACGATGCAACATTTGAATGTAACCAATCATTTAATTTTCTTAATTTGTAGTTAGAAATTGGATGTGTTGCACCTAAAACAACCTTTGGAGACTGTTGTTTACTTAACTTACCTCTGCTCAGTTCCTGGGCAAAAGTACCAGTATATAGTAGGGGCTGGGAATCCAGCAGCTACACACTGGAGAACACCATTGCTAAGTATATCCAGAGTGAGAATCTCAGGCTTTGCTGCAATAAAGAAAAGCAATAGTCACCCACTAGGGGAACACAGAATGTACACTGCTATTTGCTCTTCACATCAGCAACCTGTGTGCCTCATAATCCATGCAATCACTCAGGTGAGCAAGACTTTCTTATGCTCAAGGATGTCTGGGTCTGAACCAGTATCCTGCAAAAATCTAACATCTGTGAAAATATTAGCTCTTACACTGAATGCTTGGGCTGGACATTACAAGAATACCTCATCTCCCCTGAGTATTTGATTTGATGAAGGATCCTAAACCACCAAAGCTAAGAGCTTAAACAACCCAAAGAAGTGTGTGCTTAGAACAATGGTAAAGTTCCCATTCCTGCACAGTGTGACTTTAACCATCTGTAAAAAGGACAGTTTCTTCCCAGTTAAGAGCGTACTAAATCTGTCAAACCACATCCCTCTTACATCTGCCCTGTGTATTCAATATTACTGCTGCAGCCAGGAAAGGAAACACAATGCAAGGCAACCAGTGCAAGCCTCCCAACAGAGGACACACACCTCTATAAGATACTGAACTGCCCAACTGCCTGATTCTCTGAAACATTGCAGGCAGAGGAAGCCAACACTGGGCTGAAGGTATTAGCTTTCCAAATGAGAATTTGTGATTGCTCTGGTAGTTTAGAAAGCAATTAATCCAGCCAATGCCTTTGGTCACATCCTGCACAGGAGTTAGTCCTGCAGTTGGTTTAGAAGTCCCTGTTTCAAGGAGACACCTGCAGTCACGTGGACTTCAGAGTCATTAGTCCAGTGTCATAGGCATCAGCCAAGAGTACCACCAACACAGCAAGATTTTTTTTTTCTGATGGAACTGAAACCTTACTTCCCTTAACAACCTTAGCTTCCTTGCAAAATCACCCAAACAGAAGTCAATGAAAGAAACTATGAAAGATTACATTGCAATGATTCTGCTCACCTGACAGATACAAGTTAAGAGCCCATTATCAGTTAATATGGCTTTACAGAAATGTAAGATGAACTCCTAATTCTAGAAAGTAGTGAAGCTGTATAGGCTGCAATGGGAAAACAGATTTATTTCAGATGAAACCCATGTACGAAGACTGCACAGCGTTAGTTTTTAATGAATATTCTACTCTCTGATTAAATTGGAGTCAACAAAGCACACGTATATTCTCAATCACACACCACCTCCTCGTGACTCATGTAACAAGAACTGAATGTTCTTTCGTTTCTAAATCCGCATGTTGTGTTTTATACAAAACACCAAGAACCAAACATTGTTGCAAAATGTTGAGACTGATTTTCAGCATTACTCATTTGGTGAAGAACTTTCTGAGAGCACACAGCATCTCACCCAGCCTCAGTGCTCACAGAACACATGTAATTCACATTTCTGAAATTCCAATCAAAATGGCTGGATTGTGAAATTGAAGTTAGCTAAACTACAACCCATGTGCTATTTGTTTAGTTACATGCTGTGTTTTAGGCAACATCACAGCACAGTGTAACCCAAGAAATGAGAGCACCGAGAAGTCAAATATAAGAGGCATCTGTGCATTAAGCCATGGAAAAAGTACAGTGCCAGAGTTGGTCTCCAATCTGAAGCTGAATGAGGGAAACAAAAATGCCCATAGTAGTTAGGCTCTTTCCACTGTAAAAACCTAGCACAATAAAAGCCTGTCTACGTGGCCATGAGCCCGCATGGACTCACCCTGCAAGAGGGAGGAGATGAGAGGCTCTGCAGCCCAGGCAGAGCGGTCCAGCCTTGCTGCCACGGGAAGCTGAGCTGCAGCAGCCTCTGAGAAGTGCTGACCTAGGAGCTCTGCCTGTCATGTGCCCAGTGAAGCACTTTGATGTGGCAATTAGCACGATCAGCCTCTCCCACCAGCACTGAGGGCTCCCAAGCCCCTCTGGCTCAGAGACATTAAGGGATGCATTTCACTTGAGGCAGCAAAGAGCCCCCACAGCAGTACCCAAGGGGGCTGAGACAGCTGCAACGGCAACCACCACTGGCTGCTCCTTTGCCAGCTCAGGCCATGCATCTCAGCACCTGCAGCCCCTTCTGGCAGCCAGAGCACCTCCCTCAACCACCACTGTAGGTACTTCAGGGGATGCTGGAGCAAAGAGGGCCTGGCTTTTGCAAACAGATGCATGCCACGCTGTCACCACGCGTCTTCTTTTTAAAAGGGATTTTACTGTGCTAGATTTTATGACTTGCACTGCCTAATTACCTCTCCTGCTATCAGACTTTGATGACTAGATGTTGCTAGCTGTTCTGACTTTAACCCCCTAAATATCCAACATTTTATTATATTGCTCAGCATATATACATACTGTAATCTGTAATCAGCCATTAAATGTCTTAAACTTCTAATTTCACTAAGTTTATTAATTGCTTTTCAACTTCTGTTAATGTTGATTCTGAATATATCAAAGACGACTTATAAGAGGTCACTTCTATTTTAATTCAATGTTCTGTATAATGGAATTCTGCACCTAATTGCTTTCTATTGCCAGTTTCCCTTCCTTCATTGTTAATGAAGTAAATGTCTACAAAGTACCACTTAATAGGTATTGTCAGTCATCCCAGACAAAAAGAGAGCTTTTTCCAGCTGGAGCTACATTTTTCTGGATTGTAACAAATCTTTTTACAATATCATGGTGATTCCTCATGGTTCACTGCATAGTCCAATGACAGGAAAACAACTGAGCTTGGCTTCATGGGATCTATAACACCATGACCAGTTTTCTCTTTGCAGCAGGAGCTCTAACTGCATAGATAATGTTTTGTTGACTATAATTAAGCTGAGATATTATTTTTCACTAAATTCAGTTACTAGTTGGAAGATCCCTCTGCTAATTGCTAGATACACAATACCTTGCCACTCTGGAGATTTCACGCTTTCTTAATTGTAACTGAGTACAGTATGCTGCTTGTCAAGCTGTAATTTTCTTTTTGGCTCCTAATTTTAGAGCTGCTTACCTCTATACATTTATTATGAGTTGCTACACAATTTTAAAAGCAATTTAGTATTGTTTCAGATTGGCATATGCAATTGGTAAATATGTTTAAATCCAAGCCAAGTACTTCTGCACTGGGTTTGTCATGTCTTTTAGCAAATGCTTCAGCATTGGTATTTGTTTACATGAAGACATTCTCCTGATTATGAATCCTGTTTTACCTGTTTGGTTATTTTCTGCTGATTACATGCCCAAGCCAGACATGTAAACATCACGAGCTACAGCTAAGCAATTTATGCAAAATCCCTGACAACAATGTCAGGTGAGGACACACCATTAGATCAGATCTGACCCACCCACATATGATTCACCTTTGGCAGTTACTCTGATATGTCAAATAATATGGTACATTGCCATGCAGTTTGTGTTTCACAGCTAAATGATGAGCATTTTACAAGCCAGCAAAAACCCCTTTTCTAGGGATTGCTGTTGTTAAAAACAACCCCTAGACAGACCGATCTATTAATCTCTCTTTTTCAAAATGAAAAAATGTTTACAGGAGCTTAGTCAAAATGCCAAAAGAAACTTTCTGAGTCAAGTAAACCAATTGCTGCAGCCATGGCTGCAATCCACCCAGGGCCACAGTGCACATCAGCGTGGGCTCTATGGGACTGCTTACATGTCCCCACAGCATCCCAAGACTGATCTTGCTACTGACAAGACCAGTAGTTGAAGAAAGAAAAAGACTAGAAGGCTGCCAGTTGTATGGACAAACCATTTAGAAGAACAAAAGTGTCTGTGCTCCTTCTTGCCTTGTCCATTCCACTTCTCTATCCTCTCTTCCTGGTCTGGTTTCCTAACCATAATCCACAGGGATTTTCAGCTTTTATTAAGCAGCACATGCCTCAAAAGCAGCAGCACGGAGATCTGCATTGAGAACTGACACCTGATGATGCCAAAACTGTGAAATAGTGGTTTTTTAGTTCTTGTGCCCAGATTATAGGCAACCTGCAATTTCTCCCACTCCTTCAGAGAAATTAAAACTTCTGGCTCAACATTTTGCTCCGTTAATCTTTGACACACTAGAGGTATCCCTCATGACTGTGACCCACGCTCATTCATGAGACAAAGGAGATCTGAGATCACCAGTGGCCTTATCTCAGAAATCAGAGCTAGGAAATAGAAGGCACAATGTAAGTGTCAACATTCATATATGAAGGAAGAAATACCATGTTCTGAAAGGAGCCCAAGTGACATTTCTAAATCCAAACTATGTCACTGCTAATAGAGATGCTACAAATGCTGATCTTCAATGATAAATGAGAAGAATTCAGAAATTAACAGTAAGGACTTGATGCATTTGTGGAAGGCTTGACAATCCTCTACATAAAACTGTGCTTGGAAAAGGACACATTGCTGCCTAAGCATAGCAGCAACACAAAACTGCATTTGAAGCACATCCACTTACTTTTGATACGGTTCCTCCTGCTGGGCTCAAAGTCCCCCTTGGTTTAATTTTCCTTAAGCCTGGCCTTTAGCAGCAGCCAATATTTGTCAGCTGAGCGCATGAAATGTTCTATGAGGAGGGCTCTGCTAAACACAGGGTTTTCTGAAGGTCTCATTGAATTAATTTTGAAGTTTAGCTTTTGTCTTGAAGAATGCTATTTGGAACTGAGGCCAGTGCTCTGTCTTAACAAGCATGTCCCAAAGATGACAACAAACACATTTGTAAAGCCATGCAGATTTCTCTAAAACAATGGTGATTTATACTATTATACAGAAGTACTTAGATGCCAAAAGGCATCTAAATGTGAGTAATTCTCCTGACAAGCTTTCAAACTCTGCATCCAACTCAAACAAATTAAGAACAATTAAAAGCTTAGCTTGGTTGCCAAAAATGCAAATTATAATCCCTGTGTATCCTGCTCCACCTCAAATTATAAAAGGTCCATGATACATACTTATTTTTGAGATCACGTTTCCAGGTGCTACAGGTTTTTCTTCTGTATAAACAACCTAGCTGCTCTCTGGTAATCTCTGGAATACATTCGCTAGAATATAAGGTCATGCTGGATAGTAGGTGGATTTGTGTGAGTACTCTGCACTTTTATATCTTGACATTTAGTTTTCCAGCATGTGCTTCACTTCAGAAAGCCTCTCATATGCTGAACCACACTGTGACATCTTGTGCATACATTATGTTGTATAAAATACAATGACTATGATAATGAAATATTTCAGACTGTTCACTTTACTTACTTTTCACATAGACATTAAATGTTACAGAGGAGCTGGCATCAGAGTTGGACACAAAAAATGTGTAAATGCCTCCTTCTGTTCCTTTTAAGCGTGTAAGGTGAAGTTCACTTGTGTAACTGCAAAGAAAAAACTTAAGCATTACTAACACACACAACTTGCTCTGAACAGGCAACTGCTGCATGGAAAATAGGGAGGGAATTTTCTGCAGATATCCATGCAAACACTCTTATCTTACATTATGATTGCCATTGAACTTCCAACATCCAGATTTTTTGGCACTTCTAACACCCAGATGTGTGCCTGCATGGCAGCTGAGCCTCGGGCTCAGACCATGCATGCATCATCACCTGCTCCTCTTCTCACTGAGGAAGGAACTCAGATTCACAACCTAGGCCACATGCTCTAGGTGCTTCACTGGATTTTTAAGACAAGGGATCAGGAGAGAACAGTGCACAGCAGAAATAAAAACATAAGCTTTTTTCCAGAGTACTGGGGTCTGCTGTGGCAGTGAAGATGTTTCTGCACACAATCAACCTTAATTCTCTTTCTTGCTTATTGGACAGGAATGTAGGTGAGTTGTGAGTAAACAGCAAGCTGGTCCTCAGATGGTGCGGTTAGCTCGGTGCTGCTCCAAATGTAGGTTGGCAGACTGCACCAGTTACCGTGGCAAGCTACACGTACTACATCTTTTATTGTCACAGTTTTCTCACCATCCCCACTTTCCTCTTTCCAGAGCAGACTCTAGTCTGCTGTTTCAGAGTGAAATCTACACTACAGCCAAGAATATTACCTGTTATTGCCCACAGTCTTGAACTTGACATCATGGTCTGAGGAATTCTGTAATGTTTCGTTCATGTACATCCAGACTTCTTCCTTTGGTTTTGGATATGCCTCATATTCAACTGTTAAGTTTCCATTTTGTCCTGCATTTATATCTATTGTGGTATTCATTGTTGCAAACAAGCGGACAAATCCTTTAGCTGATGGTCATAAGAGGAGAAGAAAAACAACTTCAGGGCCATGTAGAAGTTTGTGAGTACTTTAACCACACTCAGATGACTTCAAGATTGGTGATCAAACATCCAAGTGTGAAACAGGAGACCTTATCTGCAAATCAGTACTTAAACCCTCACCTGACAAAACCAACTTTACTAGCTATACATAGCATGAGGCACATAACTTAAAGCAGCCTTGAGTGCCTTAGTACCAATAATTCCATCTTCTGGTGACAAATATCTTCTATATGCATTTGGAAAAATGCGAGCATGTGTTTGATTCTACTCAGGTATTTCTATTTTTCCAAAAATTTGACTTGCCAACTGTCTGGTGTGAAAGAAACATTATGAAAAAAGCAAGCTAAAATCATTTATTACAGCACACTAGAGTATTAGAGGATTCTTTGTCAAGTGTAATTAAAAACAACATTACAAATGAAGCTATTAAAAGCTGTAATTAGAGAAAAATGTGCTAAGTCCACAGGCCTGGATACCAATCATCTTAAACTAAGGAATTTCTGTACATCTGCTGCTGGGTCTTAATCTTTCATTTGGCAGATACCATTTATCACTGCGCAGTTCCGTTCCAAAATATCATGTCTAACAACATCCTTGCTGTAGTGGTTTTAATTTCATTAATAAACTCATCAGATTGAGGATTCACTTTAAAAAGACAAGTTTTTAGTCCTATTACAGAAATTCATAAGGGAATCATCAGTTTGACAGGCAGATTGCAATTACAAGGAAACACATTTACTGAGAGCTTGAATTTAGACCTAAAGTCAATCTCAGAGCTCTGCTTCTTCCCACTTTCTAGTAATCAAACTGCTGTGGCCAGCTGGGCACCCGAGCTTGGGAAAGCCAGAGCCAGTGGGGCTTGGTGAAAGCATATGGATCTGCCAGAGCACTTGACAGATGCTTTGAAGAGGAAAGGATGAAGTAAATTCACAACAGGCAGGGATGCTCTAAAATGGTCTCCATCATTAGAAAAGAGAAAAATATTTCAAATCTGGAAACTGAAGGTTTGCAGTTTCTTTGCAGTGCTTTTTTCAGTTTTCTGTATAAACACAGGATTCCCTATGCAAGCTATATTCAAAATCAGACCCAACTCCCATCAAATAAAATTTTATTATAATGTTATCAGTCCCTGTAATGCAGTTCTAGTACCTTATACAGTTAGATAAATTACCAACAGAAAAAGTAATTAGAAATTTTACAAAAAGTACGTATTATTTCTTGTAAATTTTTGGCTAATGTTAATGCCACAGTGATTTAGCAAATACTGCAACCCCAGATCTCTCTCTGTTTACACACTATACACCACTTCCCAGGACCCTGGGAGCTGGCACAGTTCAGGTAAATATAGTCAGTTTGACAATAAATGGTGAAAGGTATCCAAAAGTTGGAGCTTATTTAAGTCAAATTTGAGAGGGTGGAAAGAGAAAACTATCTCAAGAAGGAAAGATTCCACCTTTTCTCTGGCATTTTTTATTAAATACAAACTTTGTATTTTACTAAACAAAAATTTTATTTCCTACTTTTTATAATGCCATGCTTTATTTTAAACCCCAGACTTTCCTAAGTCAATCTTTTTTAAAGCTACATTTGCATATGTAGTAGTACTAAGAATTTCTGTAGTGAAGAACTTCCCTCCTCTTATAATAAAAGCTTTCACATTGATCCCCTTGGGGAGAAGATTTTCTTTCATACTTCACACTGTTTCACTCTTTTACATATGAATGTAGTCTCTCCTGTAGAAAAATGAGGAAAACATCCCTTTCATTGTGAGCACTACCCCCTCAACTGGCACAGCAAGGTTAAGGGCACTCAAACCTCTGCCTGCTTGCTGAAGATCTGACCCACACAGGTCAAACACTTCTGTTTTCTTTACGTTACCAAGGAAAGCAAAACAAGCAGTGTGGCTGGAGTGCGTGTCTGTGCAAAGGAAAAATGGATTTGAAAAGGAAAAAAAGAATCCAGAGCTAGATTTCCCTTAGTTACTACACCCTTGAATGGAACTGAAACAGTTGTAGCAACTACACAGATCAGAATGATCTTATTAACTATACCAATATGTCCTTAATTGTACTCAATTTATCAAATGAGCAGGTTTCAGCAGCTTTAAAATTCAAAAGGCACTGTGTGTCGCCCAAGTTAATATATAGCAGACTCCATACACATCTGTTATTAAACAAGAGGAGGAAGGGAATTTGCTCACTGTTTAGGGACATGATCCAAAACATGTAGAAGTGATGGATAGTGGGTTTAACAAGGGGGTGACCTCCGGAACAATTTCATGCTGTCTTTGTGCACCACGATGTTGCTCACAGCATTATTTTAAATAGAGGTAGAACTACAGTTTCTACATAAAACACACTGACACTGTCAGTGAGATTCCCCATGCTTGGAAGGCAGGTATTGAAGATGTGCTTCACACTTGTACTGCCAAATTACTTGGGCACAGGGACAGTACCAGGAGCAGGTACATTAGTTGCTTTGTTAAAATTGGTTTAAATTTTAGATTAAACCAGGAAGGATGAGACAAATCAGAGGGACAGAAACACTGTTGGGTGGTTTTTCTAGTATCACTTTCCAAAAACTAGCAAAGGGTTATGAAAATTAAAGCAGTCATACACACCACAACTTCCTGAGCCATCCCATATTTTACCAGTCAGCAATAACCTTTACAGAAAACCCACTTAACTTGCTGAGGTTTGGGGAAAAGGACAGAGAAGGAAGGAAAGACTCCCCAGTGTTCTCACTTTTCATCTCCTGCTCTTAGAAATGTTAAGATTTTTACAAGAAGTATTTACCTAGAGCCTTCAAGGTTACTGTGGCATTCGTTTTTCCAAAAGAGTTTTGTGCTTGGCATGTGAATTCTCCAGAATCATTAACTCCCACTGAACGGATGTTCAATGTTAATTTCCTTTCGTATCCATAATCACGCAAATTTCTGCTTTTGGTTGTAATACCCTGTCAGTAAAAAACAATTAACATCTAAAACACTGTGTATGCATCATCTTTCCTAGATAAATTAAAAATAGAAGTAATTATAACTTTGCCATATTAATATTCATAACTTTAAACTGGAATAGTAAGCCAGCACGACAAACCTGTCACTAGAATCTCTCCATGCAAAACAAGTGTGTGATCAGCTGCCTTTAGGAGATAATGTCCTCTCCTAAGTCCTATCCCCTCCCCTCTTTCTTTTTTTTTTTCTTTTCTTCTCAAGCTCCCTTCTAAGGCAAGAATGTAGAGGGACATGGAGTGGGGGTGGAATGAATTTGGGACTACGCTCACCTGCCCCAAGAGGGCCAAATGGAGGAGACCAACCCAAGACAAAAAGAACTAGACCTCTAGCTTCTTCAAACGTTCCCATTACCTGATGACAAGGCTGGTGGGCCCCAGGTCAGATCCAGCTCATTCTGGCCACATTTCCAACACTAAGGTGAGTATTGGTGGGAGGGCGAGTAACCAACTGAAAGTTTTATTTGCACAAAGAGTACTTCTAACTGTAGGGCTTGATGCAAAATGACCACTGGGTCCTGACTTTCCTAATGCTCAGAAGCTGAAGCTCTTGTATGAAGTCATTGCATCTCAGAAGTGTGGTTCACCCTTCAAATGGTGCCTGAAGTTCAGCAACTCTCTAATGGTTGCAATGCTTCCCAGCGAATGACAAGAATGAATTTAACATCTTGGGGTTCATTTTAACCATGGTGCTCTATGTTCCAAGGCCACAGCATCTCCTGATTGCAGGCATGCTGCAGAGAGCCCTGAGAGCCCTGCTGGCAGCAGGTTATACACAGCATCCCCGCCCTCCCACTGGTACCCACTCTGATTCTTGGTCCACAGCAATATCAATTTATTAATCTTAAAGGAAACTGGAAACTTCATTCTCTTAAATATGTCATGATTCTATACATGTGCACAGAAAAAATAAATGCTTTGAGATGCTGACTTTAATCTCTGTGAGAACTTTTGGTATGGTTGGAAAGACTGATAAAATTTACACTGATTAAACCAAATGCAGACCTGGACTTGTTATGATTTTCTAATTGAATTATTGCAATTCTTGGATGTTCCAAGAGCTTCTAGACAAATTAAAGCTTCTCAATGCAATTTTGATTCCTCCTGACTTATAAAAATCACAAGAAAAGTATATTCAGTATGGATGTGCTTGCTAATAGTCAGTCTCCTAATTTTCCAAAGTGGTGATAACTTCAGTCATACATGTAAAAACATTTTGGTTTTTTTTTTCTCTCATCCATTCAGGACAAAATGTAATTCTGAATCTACTTAAAGATGAGATTTTTGCATTCTCTTTCAATACAAAATTTAATTTGATAGTCAGTATTTCAAAGACAGCAGCTCCTACTATATACTAGAAAGGACAGAAAAGTCAAACTTATTGAGAAAATACTTTCCTTGTGGCTTTTACACATTAAATAAAAAGTTATAGAGTACAAAAAATGAAGGGAAGGCCTCAATTTCATCAATCTGTAACACAGGAAAGGGAGGGGAATGAGAGAAGAAATGAATTCTCAGATGAAGCTCCTGCACAGGAACAAAAGCAGATCTGCATCTGCATCAAGCCACCTTCATGTCACTCAGACTTTCTCAACATTCAGAGCTGTGGGGTGGGATTCTGGTGCAGTGAGCACTTAGCAGCAACAGCTTTGCCAGAGCTGGTGCATTTGCCAAGCACAGCATGCCCAGCCCCAGGGAACAGGACTCCTGTTTGTTATGTGCCCAAGGAGATGTGATTTACCCAAATACCACAGGACTCTTCCATATACATAGACTGAGAATTATGTATTCTGGGCACTAACATTAGCAGTAAAAGATCAGTCAATTAGCATGGGAAAGTATATGGTACGAGTTACTAAAAGTCTTCACAAGGGCTTTTAATTAATTTAAATTTCAAGGTATACCCAGAAGATCAAGAAGCATTCTCAAGAACAACCCAATGCCTGCTGCTCACTTCAAAGGCACAGCGGGCAGCACACTGGCTTACCAGGGAAGGGGATCTCTCTGCCCCTTTTCTGCAGAATAGTTGCACTGACAGTATCAAACTCCTTGAGCCTCTCAATAATTTAACTTGGTGATGCCAGTCAGTAACTTCGTCTATCACTGGCAGACAGAAGCCAGTTCACTGGTTCATTTTTCAGAGCTTTTCCAGTTAGTGAGGCACACCATGTAATTTAAATGAATTAATCATTCCTATGAATGCCTACTACTATTCCTGTCACGCACAACCCCATGCTAATTAGCAGGTATTTCACTGTTAATGATAACAACTAGAATATGTAATTTGCAGTCCATGTGTTGATATTTGCAGCTCCCATTGATTGCAATGTGATGTGTAGGCACTCCACGCTTCCGTATTTAGGAAGCCCAACAGAGGTCACCTGAACTTCACATTGAAATGCCTAACTTTAATTTCTTTTTGGGAAGAGAAACCCATGCAGATAATTTTCCTCCCAGCCATCCTCAAGGGCACAGGAGTTGCTACCTTCTCACCAGTCTGTGGGATACTGAATCTTTGTAAATGCAACAAATCCAAATCAACACAGCATCAGGTACCCAAGACAAGCATGTGAATGCCTACAGAGAGTCTGTGTACTGAGCTCAGGCACACATGATATATGAGTTAAAGGAACTTACCCCACTTTTGAGAGGAATCCAACTAGATTGTACACTGCTATCCACATCCGTGATTATGCATGTAACTTCAAAATCTTCCCCTTCTTTGAGAAGCTCATAGCTTTTTGATAAGGTGACGACAGGAAGAGTTTTGTGAACTGGAAAACAATTCAGAAGTTTATTACTCTTCATTAGTCTCAGCTTTTCCGGGGGGGATAAAAATCAACAGTCGTTAATTAACTTTCCAATAAAATCAAGGCTCTGAGATGGATTCAAAATTTTAAACATAATACACAGTTGTTCCTTTACAACAAGCAAATTTCTGCTTCAACTTTGCTTCAAATTACACTTAAAAGTTAGATAATACTTGTTAGAGCATAGCAACTTGCATGAAGAAACCTGAATGATGTTGAACCATCAATGAGATGACTAATTTTGTGACAATGATTAAAAAGTAGCACTCTGGAACTGAAAACACAGTAAGGATCAGTCACTGAAGAACAGCAGCCCAGCACTAACTACAGATTTTAATTACAAAACATTACAGAAAGTACTGTCTGACAGGTCCCTGATGGACAGCCTAAGAAGGAGAGGTACAGCCCAAGGATTTCTGCACATTTTTGCCTGAAAGCACCACAACCTCTGCTTACAGGGGTGGCTCCCAGTCACCCAAGAAGCAGGTGGTGACATGCAGATGTGGGGTAGCTGTACCCTGCTCTGTTTCAGGATGTCTTTTGTCAACAGTCAGGTGAATCTAAGGTCTATGTGTCTCCTGATTCTGCAAAACTCTTCAACTGTTCCTGTGTTCCTTTCGTGGCTTGTTTTTCTATTTTATTTATCCTTTCTTCAAATCTTTCTCTTTTATTATACTCCAGTTAACTTTGCTCTAGGGCTTTTACACAGGAAGACAGCCTGTGAATGTATCAGACTGTAGCATGTATTAAACAAGGTCTTCCAGACTCTCTTTCTGCCTCTGACATAACTTTTGTAGTTATCTCAGGTAAACTGTACAAAACTTAGGAAAACCCCATGCTTCTCAGCCATTTGTACTTTAACAATAATGTTTTCCTCATGTTGCTGTAAGAAGCTACAGAAGAAAACAAAGAAACATGTTTGCCCTCTTTAGATATAAAGGCTCACACAAAAACCCCCCTCAGCACTCGGCAGTACCCAAGTGACAGAAGGATGCCAGTGCAGAAGGCATTCTGTGTTCTCATCTGCCAGAAAGATCTCTGGACATCCAAAAAAAAAGCCCTAAGTCTATAAAGCCCCTCATTGTTTTGAGAAGGGCTGTACATAAACACTCCCTGTGCTATCATAGCTGCTGTGTGTCTGAATACTCCTGCAGAGCTCCCTGTTTCCCAGATGCCTCTTCAGTCTTTCTGTACCAGAAGCTCACATCTGAGGGTCTGAGTGCCATGGTTATAACTACAAAAACACTACCCATCAAAGCATCTCCAATGCATTTAAAAGTTGAGCCAAGGAGAAAGTGGGAGTTTTACTTGGTGAACTCAGTAAGGACCAAACTCTACAGTACAGTAACTACAACACTGAGAGTGACAATGCTGAATTTCCAAATAATCAGAAAAAAAGGACTTGAACTTGCCGCTGCAAACTCCACGCTTGAGATGGCCCTCACTCCTCAAACTCTTGCCCCACCTCCAAACAGAATGGGCAGGTCACACAGGCCCTGCCATGGAGCAAACACCACAGCAGCCTGCTGGCCCGAGCCGTGCTCCCTCTCTTTCGGCAGCAGCCTCAGCTGCAGCAGGAGGGGCTTCATTCCAAGTGTCCAGAGCTACACAGAGAACAAACTCATTTACTGGCCCCTGAGGAAATGCCAAATGCCTGGCTGGCTGAACTGCTCCCTTCCCCTTCTCTCCTGGGTATCTCCCCAGCCCAGCAATGACACACAGGGTAAGTGTGGGCTCCAAACTGCCCAGACAACACCAGCCTGTGAAGTCTGACGGACAGACATCAGGTTTGTCCTGCTTCCCAAACCCACCTAAGCACCCAACCCTAGGGCACTCTAGCCTGTGGGAAGGTCAAGTGTAGGGTATCACCAACAGGTTTGCCAAGCATAGTGCTGCCTGTAGCAGCTCAGCCACAATGCATACCCCATCATCATCTGTGTACACGGCTGCTGTTGTGACCATCTTCACTCAATATCATGAAGACAAAGACCTTCTCCTTCCATAAGCTCTGCCTATCCACCAAATCGCTCTTCAATGCCATCAATCAGTTCCCACTACTGTCACTTGTGGGCAACAGACACAGTAGTCACACACTGAAATAATTTTGCCTGTGCAAACCTGTACAAACCTCAGGGTGCTGGTTTGCCCGCAGAATTTAACAGCATAATCCAACAGCATAATCCAAGTTTCTTATAATGATTAAAAAATGCCTGGAAATCGCCAGGAACAGAAAACAAAGCTCATCATGGCTAAACCTTCCAGGCACAGCTGTCATGAGATCAATCTGTGCCCTGACACAACTTGCCCAAAACAACTTTTCTGAGCTCCCCACTTTGCTTTGGACAGCAGTGGGGCTTCACAGCCCTTCTCTACACCTCCTGGGAATCAGGTTCTCTACAAGAAGGCAAAAATCCTGTGTTACCTGGTCTCACATTCAAAAAAATCATCTCTGATATCTTCTCAACTCCATTGTGCTTGGCCAAGCACTGGTAGCAGCCCTTGAATGACCTCTGCACATTCTTTATAACGATGCCTTTCTGGGGATTTGGAATGAACGTCATATTTTTGGGGAGACGTTTGCCATCACACCTTTTCAGTGTGAAATTTGTAACATTTGGATCTGTTAGTGGACACACTAGCAGGATGTCACTGTCTTCTTTTCCATAGACCAGAGAATCAACAAGGAAGAGCACATTTGGATCTGTAAAGAAACACAATGATCTGTCAGACAAGCTGGCATGGGAACTTCTGATTACCCTAACTCTACAATTGGGCACTTGTCAAAGAAAGTTTTACTTTCAGCCAGTAAAACTGAGTATTGCCTAATTCATGTTTACCAAGAGACATAAAATTTTCTCCTAAAAGAGCAGCATGCCAGAGCAGCATACTGCAAGACGTGCAGTAGCATTCCATACCAGATACACTAAAGAATCATGTGAACTAAAAATAATCTTACTGCTTTTTTATTTGGAGATGAAGGGCATTTTTTGCCTTGTTTAGGTCCAAAATATCCCCACAACAGTAAACAGATTTTCACAGACCACTAGAAATAATTTGCTTTTAGCTAGTGGCAGGGCTGTAAGGTTTTATGCCCACAGAAGGATTTGAAAGAAATTTATGAGCAAATGGAAGTTGAAAAGCACCTAAATTATGGTTTTCACTTCTGTAAAATACATAATCTAAATTAACACACATTGCTACCAGAGGAAGCAGCAAACAACTTCTCTCTTTCTCTCTGCTCCCTGAAAGCAGAGATTATTTTTAGCCTCCTTAGAAGAAAAACTGGGCATACAAACAGCACATCTGATTGAAAAATAATCATGCAATCTTTCACAAGGTAATTTTCCTATAGCATTTCATCTCAGCCAACCACAACACACAAACATATAGTACTTTAAACACTTTTACAACCAAAGTTGAAGCCCATGATATGTCACGACCTTGAAAGGCTAAGAAGCTGGCAAACACACAAATAAAGGCATATGTGATGACAAACACTCTGTAAAAGTTTATTTGAGATTCCATCTGCCCTCTCTACAGAGCAGAATGAATTTGAAAACCAAAAACAGAGAGAAAAGTTTTCTTTCTGTTTTGCAAACATACTTACAACTTGAATGATTATAGATCAACAAACCATGGCTTACCAAGGAAGACTGAGAGAATTTGTTTAAGATGATAGACAATGTGCATTTGGTTTAAGACAAGAAGTACCAGACTGAAAATGAAGCCTGGGAGGTTTATGGAAGCAATTCACTACATCAGGCGTTATTCATCACCAAACAGAGAAGTTACTGGCTGGTTTCTAGCCTAGCATGAGGGTGTAGCTTTAGCTGAATTTGATATTACCACCCAAGAAGCCCCCAAAAACTACAGGTTTTGAAGCATCAGTCTACAATTAGAGGATGGAGACTACTAAGAAATTTAAAAAAAACTAAATAATTTCTGAGCAGAACCAAAATGTGGCATTTGCACACAGTGATCTTAAAAGAAATGCTATGACTAGCTGTCACTTCTGAGCAGCAAGAAGATGGATTAAAAGTGCTCATCTAAATGTCCCTGTGTGGTGGTTTGACCAGGAAGGAGTGGGAATTCTGGGATGCTGTGGTCAAACCAATGGATGTTCGGAGTTTGATACTGACACCTGGTGTAGCCAGTGGGGTTTGGACACACCTCCGAGAATACACAGGGGTTAAAAAG